GTCTTGCTGTGTTCTCATTGTATCTTTAATCATGCTATCATCTGCCAGATTCCCTAATAAAAACCTGAGGGTAGCCCTTGCTTCCAGCTCATGTTTTTCCCACATTCAATCAATCTCCAGAACCTACCTCAGAAATGCCACCTGCTCCTGGCGTCCCTCCCTTCCCATTCTCACTGCCTGGGCTCAAGCCCTCACCCCTCCTATCTGGACACAGCACATGCTCATTGCTGTCTTCACCACCCGCCTCTACTACCCCTTAAACCCATCTCCATACCACCACTCAACTCATCTTTCTCAAGAACTGCTTTGGCCACCTCATCCTCATCTGAAAGACTTTTGCTGGCCTCCTTCTGCTTGCAAAGCCTCCAATATCATCCCAAATCACAACCTCCGAAGGCTGTCCTCCTTCCCTCTTCCCACATTCCATCTCCGCACCTGCTAAAGTGTATGCATGTATTACATAAGCCACTCAGAACTTCTCACAATTCACCCACACACACCCTACTCTTGCCTGCCTCTGAGATTTCTTTACTCGTTCTGCCCCAACTAACTGGAGTGCCCCTCTTTTATCCTTTACCTGCAAAATTCATTCTTGTTTCATTCAATCCTCATAAATCTGAGAGTGGGTGGATATTGTTAACCCTTTGCTATATATAGGCAAACAAGTCAGAGCATTAAAGTAACTGGCCCCAGTTCAAACACCTAGTAATTGTCAGAGCTGCTGTTAGATACAGGCTGTCATTTAGTCCATTTTCTAGAGTTCAGTAGGCTGCTGCATCATTAGGATGTGAATATTTTACTGTTCGGCTCTTATTTGTCTCTTCAATTTCTGCAGCTTTCCCTTGGTCCCAAAGGAAACAAAACTAAGGTTTTGTAGTGCTGCTGCCACCCCTGACACCCTAAGGAGTTGATGTTTCAGTTGCCAACCAGAGTTGAGTGGTCTTTTAAAAATGCAAATCTGTACATGATATATATTTTTTTAACTTTAAGTTCTGAGATACATGTGCAGAACATGCAGGTTTGTTACATATACACATGTCATGGTGGTTTGCTGCACCCATCAACCCATCATCTACATTAGATATTTCTCCTAATGCTCTCCCTCCCCTATTCCCCCACTCCCTGACAGGCCTCAGTGTGTGATGTTCCCCTCCCTGTGCCCATGTGTTCTCATTGTTCAACTCCCACTTATGAGTGAGAACATGTGGTGTTTGGTTTTCTGTTCCTGTGTTAGTTTGCTGAGAGTGATGGTTTCCAGCTTCATCCATGTCCCTGCAAAAGACATGAACTCATCCTTTTTTATGACTGCATAGTATTCCATGGTGTATATGTGCCACATTTTCTTTATCCAGTCTATCATTGATGGGCATTCAGGTTGGTTCCAAGTCCTTGCTACTGTGAACAGTGCTGCAATAAACATACATGTGCATGTGTCTGTATAGTAGAATGATTTATAATCCTTTGGGTATATATCCAGTAATGGTATTGCTGACTTAAATGGTATTTCTAGTTCTAGGTCTTTGAGGAGTTGCCACACTGTCTTCCACAATGGTTGAACTAATTTACACTCCCATCAACAGGGTAAAAGCATTTCTATTTCTCCACATCCTCACCAGCATCTGTTGTTTCCTGACTTTTTAATGAGTGCCATTCTAACTGGCGTGAGATGGTATCTCACTGTGGTTTTGATTTGCATTTCTCTAGTGACCAGTGATGATGAGCTTTTTTCATATGTTTGTTGGCTGTGTAAATGTCTTCAAGAAGTGTCTGTTCATATCCTTTGCCCGCTTTTTGATGGGATTTTTTTTCTCATAAATTTGTTTAAGTGCTTTGTAGATTCTAGATATTAGCCCTTTGTCAGATGGATATATGGCAAACATTTTCTCCTATTCTGTAGTTCACTCTGGTGATAGTTTCTTTTGCTGTGCAGAAGCTCTTTAGTTTAATTAGATCCCATTTTTCAATTTTGGCTTTTGTTGCCATTGCTTTCGGTGTTTTAGTCATGAATTCACAAGCATCCCTATACACCAATAATAGACAAACAGAGAGCCAAATCATGAGTGAACTCCCATTCACAACTGCTACAAAGAAAATAAAATACCTAGGCATACAACTTAAAAGGGATGTGAAGGACCTCTTCAAGGAGAACTACAAACCACTGCTCAAGGAAATATGAGAGGACATGAACAAACGGAAAAACATTCCATGCCCATTGATAGGAAGAATCAGTATCATGAAAATGGCCATGCTGCCCAAAGTAATTTATAGATTCAATGCTATCCCCATCAAACTACCATTGACTTTCTTTACAGAATTTGAAAAAAACTACTTTAAATTTCATATGGAACCAAAAAAGAGCCCGTATAGCCAAGACAGTCCTAAGCAAAAAGAACAAAGCTGGAGACATCATGCTACCTGACTTCCAACTGTACTACAAGGCTACAGTAACCAAAACAGGATGGTACTGGTATCAAAACAGATATATAGACCAATGGAACAGAACAGAGTCCTCAGAAATAACACCACACATCTACAACCATCTGATCTTTGACAAACCTGACAAAAACAAGCAATGGGGAAAGGATTCCCTGTTTAATAAATAGTGTTGGGAAAACTGGCTAGCCGTATGCAGAAAACAGAAACTGGACCCCTTCCTTACACCTTATACCTATATTAAATCAAGATGGATTAAAGACTTAAGCATAAGATCTAAAACCATAAACCCTAGAAGAAAACCTAGGCAATACCATTCAGGACATAGGCTGTGCATGCTATTCTGATGTCACTACCCATGCACTGGCCTGAATCCCCTTAATGGCCAATTTCCCACTGCTCTTGAGAGGATCTTACATTTCCCAAAAATGGTCTACCTGAATTCTTTGCAGGGTTTCCTGCCTACCTGTGTAGCCTCCCTCACACTATGCCCTGCTCACCTCTCCACACCTGCCATGCTGGCCTCCTTTCTATCCTTGAATCCACTATGCTCCCTCCTATCACATGGCCCTTGTCATGTTCTTCCTTCTACCTGAATGTTCTTCCCCCTCTTCTTGGTCAAGTTAACTCCTTTATCATCTTTCAGGCTTTGACTCAAACGTCACTTCTTTGGGGAGCCCACATTTAAACACCAGTGATCTGTAATTTAAAAGGCCAAGCTTTTCCCACAAACCATGTTGTCTCTTCTTTAAACACTCTGCATATAAACTGACAAAAGAAATCTAAAACATATCAAGAGTATCTGATTGAGCATTGCCCTTGCGAAAATGAAGAAAATTGATTCTTATTATCTGGCGAGTCTAAGACTGGCCCTAGGCATCAGACATTTCCTAATAATGACACCATCAAATAGCCCACTCTGAACATCATCATTCAATTTCCCCTATACTTCTTACACTTCTACTGTATCTCATATGACATCTAGCTTGGTACTGAATACTTAACAAAATGTTTAAGTATGCTTATTATTGGTTGACTACTTGACCAGTTAGTTTCAATTGGGACATCTTTTTTTTGAAAACGGTTTGGCAGTTTCTCAAACAATTAAACCTACAACTATTATATAAACCCAGCAATGTCACTTCTGGACATTTATTTCAGAGAAATGAAGATTTATGTTCACATAATAACCTGTACACAAATGTTTATAGCAGCTTTATTCATCATAGTCAAAACTTAGAAACTACCAAGATATCCTTCAACGAGTAAATGGCTAAACAAACTTTGGCACATCCATACCATAGAATACATCAAAAATAAAAAGAAACCCACCACGTTGACACACACAGCAACCTGGATGAATCTCCAGAGAAGTACACTGAGTGAAAAAAGCCAGTCCTTAAAGGCTCTATGCTTTATGATTCATTTGTATAACATTCTTGAAATAACAAAATGACAGAAATGGAAAACAGACTAGTGGTTACCAGGGTTTAAGGAGAGCATGCAGGTGGAGGGGAAGTGATGTAGCTATAGTGGACAAAAAGGGAGATACTCTTGGTAAGGAAATACTCTTTACTTTGACCGTATCAATATTAACACCCTGGTTGTAACGTTGTACTATAGCTTTTCAAGATGTTACCATTAGGGGAACTGGGTAAAAAGTACAAGAAATCTCTCTGCATTATTTCTTACAACTACATGTGACTCAACAGTTATTTCAATTAAAATTAAAGTTTGTTTTTTTTAAAAGAGACCCATTTAATAAAATGTTCGTGAACACTGAGGTGTTCACAAACACGTAATAACTGTGATGCCACTAAATGTCTTCTTTCTTTTCTTTTCTCATGGTTTTTTATTTATTACTACTAAGGATTTTATTTTCCTCTATTTAAGACATACATAATGCTGATCACTTTCAGGCTGTTTTCACAATGACTGAGAAATATATTATATTAGAATCCCTAATTTTTATGCCCCTTGGTTGCCTGTCATATATTTCTCTGAATGTTTTTCCTCCTGATCAAGATACAATTTATAGAACTGTTGGCTTGTACTTCAATCTCTGGCAATACCATAACAACAAAGTATAATAAGGCCTTTATCACTCCCCATGTAAGAAATGTTTTTTGAAGTAGCACTTCTGCCCTGCCACCTCAAATCTCCTTGTCTGGTTCTCAGGGTTCTCTGAGCTTAGTATTAGTATTATACTTCAATAGGTTGTTATTGTTTGGAAAACTTTGTTTTGACTGGCTGTTGTTCAAATTTCTCTTCGGTCCTTTTCATCTCTTCATCATTTCTCTGCGAAAGTTTAATACCTTCTGCTGGTATCACCCTTATTGGATTTCCATTCCATTTTCTGTTATCTTTGCCTAACACAGTTTATTTAGGTTTTAACTTTTTTCCCCCAGTTATTGAAGTGGTTGTAAAAGTCCACATTGTGATAGAAATCTTTGCTCAGAGAGTCCATGACCGCTTGGAAGTGTTTACTGTAAACAGAGCAGGATCAGTACCACATTTTATTCATTTTCATGCTTTAATGTAAAAATTCTTTTTGCTTTCTCTTTCAGTGAGTACAGAAAAAATCCAGGAACATATCACCAACCAGGTATTCTCTCACTTCTCATAAACTCTAATATAGAATTTTGTTTCAAATGTTAATAATTAAACATGTGTAAATGTAAAAAAGGGGGGGGTAATGTTAGCTCTTAGTTATGAGCAATATATATGTTACTGGTTCTGGGGAAAAAAACATATTTGGTCATATGTAGATGATCATGCACTTTCTTTGTCTTCTCCCAAGCCAAGTCCTTCCCTACCACATCCTACCCAAACAGGAAACAGTAGACTAATGAGACTCTGCCAGTTCTAACTTGCAAGTATCTCTCTGACCTGATTGTGACCTCTGCATTGATACTATCATGGCAGCAAATAGATATTTCCATCTGCTTTTCCCTTAACTAAGGTTACTGTCCGTGATTTTCTCAGGTTTTCATTCAATCAGCTCAAAGTCACTGCCTCCCAAACAGCTAAGAACTGGCTCCCTATATACCACAAGTTGATCTTCCATTCTGGTCTTTTGTTTCTACTCATAGTTGACCAGCATCTTCCGTTTGCATCACGGTTTTCTTATCCCATCTTCTTACTGATCTATTTTTGTATTTCTAGGTAGATGGTGTCCTTCTATAGAACTGTTTTAGGAGCTTGAGACCTGCAGCCACACAAACAAACCAAGGGAGACCTTCCCCCAAAGCACATCTTGCCCTACCCCACCTACTTTTTCCCCAGGCCAGCTTAGCGACAGTTTCTCCAAACCCTGCCTGTGCCACTAGACTCAGAGAATGCAGACATTGACCTGTGGAAAAATATGCTTGGGTTTCACCCATAGGTACAAATTTCCGTATCTTCTTTCTTTTTTCCTTTCAATGGCATAAATTACAACTCACCCTTACCAAAGAGAAGGGTGGTAAATCTACGTTTATACCAATTAAAAGTGCATTTTTCAACCTTCTAAGTGCACTCCAAAAGAAATTCCAATTCTAGTTCCTATTGTCAGTCCATCCCAATAAAGTTCTAGTTTCACCCAATCTGTGCCAGATGCCCTGTAACTCATCAAGCTTTCAAAATTGTCAACTCACTTGGCTAATACACTATTTTTCAAATTCAGTAGCCAAAATTTAATCAGGTGCCATTTTGTTTTTGAATACTATTGTACATGTTGACTTCTAGTAGCAACTCTCTTAATACTTGAAAATGCCATCATTGTGAAATAGCAAAATCAATTGGCCATTTCAAATAGTTCATTTGCCTTTTGAACATAGTTTCTTTCTTTCTTTTTTTTTCTTTTTTTTTTTAGATGGAGTCTCGCTCTGTCACCAGGCTGGAATGCAGTGCCACAATCTCGGCTCACTGCAACCTCCACCTCCCAGGTTCAAGCGATTCTCCTGCCTCAGCCTCCCAAGTAGCTGAGACTACAGGCATGTGCCACCACGCCCAGCTAACTTTTGTATTTTTAGTACAGACCGGGTTTCACCATGTTGGCCAGGATGGTCTCGATCTCTTGACCTCATGATCGGCCTGCCTCAGCCTCCCAAAGTGCTGGGATTACAGGCGTGAGCCACCGCACAGGCCCTTAGTTTCTTTATTATTGCATTTTAAATTATTTGTATGTACTCAAGTGGTTTGGTGAGGCTCAGCAACAGTTAGCCAGTAAAGTTTACTGCTGCTATTTTTATTTATTTAAATCATATAGGAATACTTGACCTGTTTTCCTTATAAATGTAACAACCTACCTGTTTCCCTTATTAACAACCTAAAGCAGTTGGTCAAAAAATATACTAAGGTCACTTCTGATGGGTAGATTTTCATCTCCTGTTTTTGCTTCTTTTACATTTAGCAAAACTAACAAAATATGTAGACACCAAAATAGAATGCCACATATTTACTCGTAATCTTAAATATTAATCTGATGCCAGATAAAATTATAATGGTTTTCAGTCTCAATAAGACAGTGAAATTCTTTAGATTTTAACTGAAGAGGGAAAAGTCTTAATATTTTAATTATGTAGTCATTCTCAGAACAGATCATTATCTCGTTCAGTCATTGCTTATATTTCTAATCCTACAATGAAATTTCTATTCATTCTTCTCCCAAGTAGAGAAATGCTCTCCATTCTCAAGAATGATATACTGGCAATACAATTCAAAAAGGTATCTTATACCTCTAGTTTATATAAACTCTGGCAAAAAGTAAAGAAATAAAGTTACCTTCTTTTTCAAATCACTATGCCACCAAAATAGTTTGGCTCTTGAAAAACATTTTTGAAAACCCACTTTAGATAATCAATACAGCATTTTTTATCAGAAAGAAAGGCAAAATGGAACACTGCTGAGCGTTAATCTTGCCCCTAAATCCTTCCCACTAGGCACTATAGATTGTGTAATTAAATTGAAATTGAAAATCGAGTCTTCCCGCACCACCCCCCCACCCCGCCCACATCAGGCAGGCTATGAGTTGTGCACCAACGTGAGAAATCAGGAGCGGAGCGGAAGCTCTAGCCTGCTGGCTAATATCCAGCCTGTGCTTTTAGCCCATGGCTATTTTACCACACCTGAGCTCTGAGAACAAACAACTATTTGAGTCCTCTGGAGGGAACGCTGGATTCTTTCCTATGCAATTCACTGGGGAAATTAGTATGCTTTTTAAAAGTAACTTGTTAACGCAGCTTGTTTACCAGAAGAGGACAAAAATGAGCAGTGAACTGCTTGGTAGCCTCTGTTCTAGAATGGGATGAATGCATGACCCAATTTTTTTTTTCAGCTGTCTCTTTGGCAGTTCCTTGCTGCAATCATTTCCTATCTGAAAAATGTTACTTGTAGAGATGAAATTTTCTATAGGTTTTCTAAATAATTTTTACGATACTAGATGAAAGATAACACTTCAAAATATTACCAAAAATGCTTTCAAAATAAAATTATACATGGTCAGCATAAGAATGGGAAAACTGAATGTAAATTCTTAATTGAATTTTTGGAAACTGCCTTATTATATAAAAGACAATTTAAACCTTTTGTGTTTATGCCTTTTTATATAGCAGATAATTGAAACCCTCAGTGAATTAATACCTTGTGTTTGTGCCGCTAGATGACAAAGAGGGACACCGAATATGGGGCTCTGTTTCTGGTGCAGAGGATGTCTATGTTGTGGAGAACGTTCACAGACAGGTGATCCCTATGAGAAATGCTTGCCCTCACTGACGACCCAGTGAGGAGAGGCAACACCAGCGCAGGCCCTTACAGCTCTGTATTTGGTCCCTAGGGCTGCCATAACAAAGTACCATGAAGACGTGCCTTAAAATAACAGAAATGTATTGTCTCACATCCATAAGAGGGTGTCAGCAGGGCCATGCTCTCTCTGAAACCTGTAGGGAAGGAGCCTTCCTCGCTCTTTTTATCTTCAAGTGCTTGCCAGCAATCCTTGACATTCCTTGGCTTACAGCCGCATCACTCCACTCTCTGCCCCTGTGGATACATGGCTGCCCTCCCATTGTGTCCCTCCCCTTATAAGAATCCTAGCCATCCTGGCTTAGGGCCTTCCCTCAGTGACCTTCTCTTAACTTAATCGCAGTGGCAGAGACCCTATAATCAAATAAGGTTGCATTCTTAGGTACTAGGAGTTAGGACTTCAACATATCTGTTTGGGGGATATAATTTGACCCGATGTTATGCCCAGACAGTTTGTTCCCCAAAGAAGACCACCAGAGTCCAGAGTCAAAGCCAAGCGGCAAGGATCTTTACTGCAAGTTCGAACTTGGTGCCTCCATTCCACAGCATACAAGAGGGCTTCCAACAATGCGAGTGCTTGCTTTTTATAGCCCGATGTAAACAGGATATGTAAAGTTACAGGGGAACAAGGTAATTCTCTCGGTTACAGCACATTTAGCATTTTTTATTGGTTCCCGCTGTGTCCTTATCGGGGATTTCCTAGGTAGTGTTTTTCTGAAGTTTGAGAGAAATATGGAGGAATGTGTTTGTGCTGGGCTCAGGAAGTTGGGAGATATATGGGGGATGTGCCTCATTCCTTTCACCATAACAAGCTGGAAACCTCAGAGTCATCCTCGACTCCATCTCTCCCTCTGAGCACTGGGCACTTCTGATGGGATCTCCTGTTGACCTCTCCCAACCAGCTCCTCACCTCCACCCATAACCCCTGCTTCATCCATGCCCTTGTCTCATTTCCTCGGTGATTTCTTGAGGCTCTCCTGTTAGCCTCACCACCTTTCTGTTCATCTTCCATTCTGCTGCAGTTTGCAGTAGTTTGCAGTTTTAAAATATCATCTTGCTGAGAAATAAAAACTAAGTAGAAAAACCTCCTCATTCCTTGTTAACAGTAATTTTAACCCTAACTGGGCATTATAGTCACCTCTGAAACTTGTTAGCACAGATCCTGAGACCCCATCTCCAATTCTAACCCCAAGACATTCTGGGTCAGTAGCTCTAGACTTGGGTTAAGTTACAGCACAACCCTCAGACCCGACCAAGAAAGGTCACAGGCTTTAGGAGTCTCCAAGCATCACAAAAACAGCCATGCAAAGACAGATTTTTCTTTTTCTCAGCCTCATGTTTTAAAGTTTCATGACCAATTGAGAGCTCACAAAATGTGGAAAGGAACATAGCAGCTGAACTGGATCATCTGGGCAAATGGGACAGACCAATAAAAGAGTGAAATTCCCTTACTGAGAGAGGTGGGGCTGTGTGGGCCCTGTGAAATCAAAGAAAGAAGGGATGCTTTAGTTTCTAGATAGCCACCCAATAGCTCCCGAAGTGGGAGGACATACAGGCAGACTGTGTTCCCCAGCTAACTGTACTGCCACCATCCCCTCTGCTTGGGGAGGGGCTGTGGAGTGGGTGAGTATAGTTTCAGCTGGTGCTTAGAACTCCTGGTAATCTGGAACCAGAAAAGGAAAACATGAGGTAGGAGAACATGTTCTCCTCAGTAACCAGAAGACCTGGACTGAGTCATTTCCATCCTTGATGGGGAGAGATGCAGGCCCTGCCCACGAGTCCCCAGGCTAAGTCCAGGGTCCATCCTGTTCCCCCCACTGAAGT